CCAAAAATTCCTATAGTACTTCTCCAGCACAATGACTTTCATCCAAATAATGAGAAATATTCTCTGGAAGTAGGATTTTATCCAATTGTACATCTGTTTAATAAAAATATAATCTTAATTGTTTTTCTGAAATGAAGGTCCCTCTTTCTAATACCAATATTCTTCTAGTGACATTGTGAGGATGCCATTTATGGAATGCCAATGGCAAATCGAATGAAAATGGCAAATAAACATGATGAGCATATTATCCAGGAAGAATTATGTATAAGAATTGGTATAAAATACATCATCAGTGATATGCATGATTAGAAAATGAAATGGATCAGTCACATCACAAGATCAAGGGCTAACCAAAAGACAAAGGAATGCTAATACCTTTGAAATGTTGAGAAACTTAGAGAAAAGCATTTGTCACATTAAATCAATGCTACTATGGGAGATTCACATGTAAATGTAAATGACATGTAAATGAGTTACAAGAGAAATTATACAAGTAAAGTAACTTTTGAATGAATTTTCCATAATCATAAGAGTACCACAAAATTATACAATTTGTCATTATTTTCTGAGATGTTTACCAAAACAAAACAAAAACAAACTCACCTTTGAGTTTGCCATGAGTTTATGAGACAGGGTTACAAAAAGATTTTCCAAAAGTCTTTGTAATGAGATTCTAAGATAAAGATCTCATTTCTAAGATAAATAATTTATGAGAATTAGATATAGGTAAGCAGTTTTCTCATACAGAAATTCACACTATTAATAGCCATAAGAAAAAGTTTTCTAAATATCTTGTAATTAGAAAAATACAAATTAAAGCAACTGAAGGTCTACTACACATTCTCTAGATTAGCAAAACTGACAAAAAAAGGAAAATGTCAAGTGTGGGAAAGACTATGGGGAAATGGGCACATGAATGTACTATTATAGGAGTTTGGGACTAGTCCAACCAGTACAGAAAAGCAATTTAAAATTATACCACAAAGTTAATAAATAGCTTACCCTTTGACCCAGTGATACCACGTTAGGTATATCTATACTCCAAAGCAATTAAAGAGGAAAAGCATCCATATGCACAAAAATATTTATAGCAGCTCTTTTATGGTGACAGTTAATAAGAAAGTAAATGATATCCATAAATTGGGGAAAGGCTAAACAAATTATGGTACATGAATTTAATAGAATACTGTTGTTCCATAAGAAATGCTGAAGGGGATGGATTCAGAGAAAAGTGAGATTATACATACAAATTGATGAAGAGTGAATAGAGCAGAATGTGGACAGTAACAACACTGCAAAGACGAACAACCTTGAAAGACTTAGATCTCTAATGAACACAAAGATTAATCATGATTGCGGAAGACTAAATATATACATGTATGTGCGGATGTGTATATATATATATATATGTATATATATATATATATATATATACACATATATATGCATGTAAACATATATGAAATACAGAAATTTGTTTTGCTTTACTATGCATATTTATTAAAAAGGCCTTTTATTTATTTCTTTTTTCTTAGAATTGTGAAAGTGAGAAAAATAAATTGGATTTTAGTCAAAACAATTTTAGTGGTTTTCTAAAGGTAGCTAATAGTGTATTCTTTGAGTGCTTACATTTCAGATTGATAAATATTTAATAATCACTATTAATGATCAATTGTCTTTTAAAAAAAATTCCTCCCACACGTTCTTAATTTTCTCTCTAGACTAATACAATTTTACAAGATCTTAATTTATGCCAAGTAGTATGGAACATCACAAGATCATCAGTATCATTGATTGATATGCTTGGCAGACCACAGACATCATTCTTTTTAAATCCATAAAGTGTTTTCATAGTTTCAAAACTTTTTCATGTACATCTTACAACCCTTCTGTGAGGTAGATCAAGAATTATTAACCTCACTTTATAGGTAAGGAAACTAGACTCAAAGGGCAAGTGAACTACCCTAATCACAGAGTTAATAAGTAGATCTGACTGATTAATGACTTGTATTGTCAGTTTTATGGGCTATTTATTCTATTTATTTTGTGGACGTGTAAGGTTTTTTTTTTCTGAATTTGTGAATTGTGTGCCTACTTAGAGATTAGTCAGGAATCATTGGGTGGTGTCAGATCATTAAAAATTCAAATTATCTGAGTGAGGAGAAAGGGGTAGGATTTAGCCAGAGGGCAAAAAAACGCAAAGAAACAAAACAAGCAAATGAATGGGGCAGGGTCCTGTGAATCATGTGAAAGATATACACAAGTCTGAAATATCTCAAGTTTCCCAGATTCAGGTCCTATGTTCTCACATTGACTTTTAGATAAAATTTTATTTGACAGATCTGGAAATGGAAGCCATCGTAACAATCTGACACTTCATCCACTAAATAGGCAGTACTTAGGAAAGCAAAACATACTACCAACATTTTCTCATTTGCAGAGTGAGATTCTATTCATTATTAATGGTCACTCTGCCTTCAGAACAGTTCATTTGCCCCAATTTCACAACGTAATTCCATTACATTTTTTTCACATAATATCATAAACAGTAAATAGAAATATACTACATCAGGTCAAACATGTCGTGAATACCCAATTAGGTATCAGTTATCAATTGAGTAGAATTTTATCTTCTGAACTGAAATAACAGTGGTTTATTTATATAATCATGTATTTATGAGAGCTAATATAAGTCTTTCCAAATTATTATCTCTGTCAGATCAGCCCAGTAATTACATAAATCAAATGGAGAGGAATAAAGAGATTACTGAGAGATTGCTTCAGATAACATATGGAATTTAGTTGACATTCTTTCCACAGCCTGTACTATTTAATGATACTAAATCTGGCTGCATACAGCTCCAAAATCTGATAAATGTATTTTGTATCTCTCCCACTCACGGTATTAAATGGGAAAATAAACAATTATTTTTATCAAATCTGTTTCTCACTTCCAATTTAATTCAACAAACATTTATTGGTCACTCACTGTGTATATGGCACTGTAGGCTAAGAAATAGGAATTCATAAAAGATTATAATCTCTATCTTCAAGGTGTTTACATTCTACTGGAGGCATAATACATATAGACATTTAAGAAAATACAAAGGACCATGAGGATGAAAATAGAAATGGAAATCATTTAATCTCTTTTTATCTCAATTAACCAATTTGTAAAATAGAGGTTTGGAAGTTTTATAGAGAACACTGTAAAATTGTCTCTTTCTAAAACAACTAAGGTTACTTCTTGGCACTTGGAGTGCTGTGGTCATCCTATCCACCCATCCAGTCTCAGTCTCCTATTCCGGAGGTTGAGGGAAATTTCCCTACATAATTTGTATAACTATACCCGGTTAGCCCCAGAGGGACTTGGGCATTAGAAATGAGTGGCAATGTGTCCCATGAGACCAAGGAAAAGTCCTTTGACTGGGCCAAGGAAAGCTGTAGATCAAAATTTGCTTTGAGCTACAAGAAAAGTGACATACTATACAGGACACTGGACAGGAAAGTGAATAAATACTTATGATATCTGATGAAAGCAGAAGAGAACTGCAGATAGATTCATGTGAAGGAAAGATAAGGCACACAGAACAGATGATCAGTGCCATCTTCCAAAGAGCCTCAGAAGGAAACATGTTCTAAGGAACCACACTAGAGAACTGTAGCCAGGAACTCTGCCTATTAAAGGGCTAGCCATATCAAAGTCAATCTCTGGGGAAGGGTTGTACACTGATGGGTATTTCTATGGTTTCTAACATAAAATTATATTTGTTTTTCCTGACCTATAAGTAAACCTATCCCTGCTTTCTTTTCCTTTTTTTTTTTTCTTTTGAGTTTGTGAAGAGTATGCATCCAAAGAGAACTGATCACAAAACACTGGATGGTGTTAGTGAAATTCACAGATTCTCTGAGAATATAAATATATAAATAGATACATAGATAGATGAATAAATAGATGGATAAATGAGTTAATTTAAAAATAAATAAATGAATTTTTTCTTTCTTTTTATTTTTGTTTTATTTTGTCAAGAGTGTGCATTCAAGAAGACCTGACCACAAAATGCTGGGTGGTGTTAAGATAGTGAAATTCTCAGATTATCTGAGTAGGGACAAAGCCAGAAAAATGAAACATTGCCCCACCTCCCCACCCCAACATGTTCCAGGTCCCTTTGTGTCTTATGAGAGACATTGACAAAATAATTACATTCATACAACCTACCTTCACAGGATTCTCATGAGAATTTGCAAAACTGTAAAAAATATGTAAACTTAAATTGCTTCAAAAAGACATGAATTATCATCATATCATTATCATCCAGATTTCTTCTGAACAGAACTCTTTTTCCTAGCCAAAAAGTTTTGCTAGTTTTTCTATGAATTCAGCACTATATCTGCCATCTTTATATATTTACATAGGCCCACCTCATATCCAGAATTCATTTCTTCCTTACCTTCTTAGAATCCTGCCTGCTTCAATTCTCAGTTCAAGTGCCACTTACCCCTCAGATATCATCCCTCATCCTCCTAACACCCAATCCCAAGTATTATAGCTCTCTATACTGGCTTTCCTATGTATTTATTCATTTATATACATGTGACGTCATCTTTAAACAAAGAATATAAAAGCCTTGAGGACAGGGGCTATTGTCTTTTATCCTTATATCCCTAGTATCTATTACAGTGCCACATAGCAGGTGCTTAGTGTATATTTTTAACTGGCAGTAATTAATGTAGTATATTAATTAATTAATGTGGTAAAATGACCAATAACAACTTCTGCAACAATTAAAACTTGTATGTAAATTGTTAATTTATTCAACAAATATTTATCGACTCTCTACCACATTGAATGCCCTGGACTAATGGACACTTGTTCAATCAAATAATCAATTTTGAAAATTCTTCAGAAATGTATCTCATCTGTTACTTTTTTTTAAGTCTATGTCTTGCACTAATAATACTTTGGAATGGAAATGAACAAATTAAAAGATGGAACTTACCATGTCCTGGAGGGTATCGCCTCCATTTAATGTGGACAGTTAACTCATCTACAGAAAGCTTAGGCCAATTTCGATAATAGGGGCACTTATGGATTAGCTGCTCCCTTGTAAGTTTTTCCATTTTAACTTGTTCCTGAAAGAAAGTGAAAGTTCAGAATTGTTCATCATCAGGTAAAAAAAGAAGATAGTAAGAAGAAAATAGGCAAAAAAGAAAGTAGCACAAACATGGAAGTTGGCAAAGAAAAAAAACAAAACAAAACACTCTTTCCTGGTTAGAATTCAGTAGAATTAAGCACATGCTGAAGGAATGACATTCACTGTAAAATCATCACTTTTATGACCATAGAGAAGTGAACATGTTTGTATCTTTTAAGAATTATAAACATAGGCATGCTTATTAAATTCTATTTCCCTCTTTTCTCACTTTTCATAGACTTACAAATCCTTTATATAACATTCCTTTTTTTTGAAGCATTTGAAGAAAATTTCATTGTTTGTTTTTAATAAATTCATCACCCTATCAGATCAAACTCAAAAGGTAGTCTTCTCAAGCTCAAAACTGAAATAGCAATACTTTGAAATAAAAAACTGCTACTGTGAAAATCAAAACAATTTTCCCAAGAAGCAGATTTCAGCTTCAAGATTAATAATTCCAGTGTCCAATTCACACCATGCTTCTGTTCCTCTTGACACAAAAAATTAGTCAATTCTTCAGGTAAATATCCCTGCCTTTTAACTTAACTCCCTAGTCCCACTCATTCATTAAGCACTAAAGGAATGCCAACTGCAGGAAGCCCTGTGTTATAGGGTATGAATGTTAGGAAAAAAGAAATGATCTCTCCTTCCTGATCTTGAAGAACTTACTTTGACCACAGACCAAGGGTGGGGAAACTGGGGTCTCGAGGCCACATGTGGCCCTCTAGGTCTTCAAGTATGGCCCTTTGACTGAATCCAAACTTCACAGAACAAATCCCCTCAATAAAAGGATTTGTTCTGTAAAACTTGGACTCAGTCAAAAGGCCACACCCAAGGACCTAGAAGGCCACATGTGGCCCTGAGGCTGCAGGTTCGCCACCCCTGCCATAGACCTTTGGAATCTAGTTGGGGAGACCATATATCCAAACATTAACAACCAGACAACAATGCTGCCTTCCTCAAATATATTCTGGAAGTGGATGAGATGGGGTTAGGAGGTTATGGTATGATAAATATAATGCTTGGCACATGGTAAGTACTTAATAAATGCTTATGGATTGGTTAACAAGAAAAGGGAAAGAAATTAAATTGAATTAAGTTAGAAAATAAGTCCACTATAACTCTTTATAATATAAATTTATTTTTAGTTTTCAACATTCACTTTCACAGGTTTTTGAGTTCCAAATTTTCACCCCATCTCCCCCTTCCCCCCACCTCAAGATGTCATACATTCTGAATATTCCTTCCCCTAGTCTGTCCTCTCTTTTATCTCTCTCCCCTTCTCTTATTCCCTTCCCCTTCTATTTTCCTGTAGGGTAGGATAGACTTCTGTACCCCATTTCCTATATTTCTTATTTCCCAGTAGCATGTAAAAACATTTTTTTAAACATATGTTTTTAAAACTTTGAGTTCCAAATTTTCTCTCCTCCCTCCTCCCTCAACCCCCCCATTGAAAAGGCAAGCAACTCAATATAGGTTGTACATGTGCAGTTATGCAAAACACGTCCATAGTAGACATGTTGTGAAAAACTAACTCTATTTCCCTTAATCCTATCCTGCCCTCCCATTTATTCTATTCTTTCTTTTGACCCTGTCTCCTCAGAAGTATTTACTTCTGATTACCCCTTTCCCAATCTGCCCTCCTCTCTATCATCCCCCTGCTCTCTTGTCCCCTTCACCCCCTATTTTCCTGTAGGGTAAGACAGATTTCCATACCCAATTGAATGTGTATGCTATTCCCTCCTTAAACCAAATCCTATGAGAATAAGATTCATTCATTCCCTCTCACCTTACCCTATTTCCCCTTCCACTGTAAGAGACTTTTCTTTTCTGTTTTTTTTCTGCAAGATAATTTACCCCATTCTACTTCTCCCTTTCTTCTTCCAAGTATAATCCTCTCTCATCCCTTAATTTTATTCTCCAGATATGACCCCTTAATCTTCAACTCACCCTGTCCTCTATCTATCTATATATCTACATATACATACATATAATTTTTTCCTCAACTACTACTGACAAAGGTCTCATGAGTTACAAATATCACCTTTCCATGCAGGAATGTAAACAGTTCAATCTTAATAAGTCTCTTATGATTTCTCTTTCCTGTTTACCTCTTCATGTTCACTGAGTCCTGTATTTGAAAGTCAAATTTTCTATTCAGCTCTGGTCTTTTCATAAGAATGCTTGAAAGTCCTCTATTTCACTGAATGACCATTTTTTCCCCTGAAGGATTATACTCAGTTTTGCTGGGTAGGTGATTCTTGGTTGTAATCCTATCTCCTTTGCCCTCCAGAATATTATATTCCATGCCCTGCAGTCCTTTAATGTAGAAGCTGCTAAATCTTGTGTTATCCTGATTGTGTTTCCACAGTACTTGAACTGTTTCCTTCTGGCAGCTTGTAATATTTTCTCCTTGACCTGGGAACTCTGGAATTTGGCTACAATATTCCTAGGAGTTTTCCTTTGGGGATCTCTTTCAGGAGGAGATCTGTGGATTCTTTCAATTTCTATTTTGCCCTCTGGTTCTAAAATATCAGGGCAGTTTTCCTTGATAATTTCTTGAAAGATGATGTCTAGGCTCTTTTTTGTGATCATGGCTTTCAGATAGTCCAATAATTTTTAAATTGTCTCTCCCGGATCTATTTTCTAGGTCAGTTGTTTTTCCAATGAGATATTTCACATTGTTTTCTAATTTTTCATTCTTTTGGATTTGTTCTACTGTGTCGTGATTTCTCATAAAGTCACTATCTTCCAATTGCTCTATTCTAATTTTTAAGGAAGTATTTTCTTCAGTAAGCTTTTGGACTTCCTTTTCCATTTGGCCAATTTTTCTTTTTAGGGCATTTTTCTCCTCATTGGCTTTTTGCACCTCTTTTGCCATTTGGGTTAGGCTATCTTTTAAGGTGTTATTTTCTTCAGTATTTTTTTGGGTCTCCTTTAGCAAGCTGTTGACTTGTTTTTCATGATTTTCTTGCATCACTCTCAGTTTTTCCTCTACTTCCCTTACTTGCTTCTCAAGATCCCTTTTGAGCTCTTCCAAGGCCTAGGACTGATTCATATTTTTCTTGGAGGCTTTGGATGTAGGAGCTTTGACTCTCTGTTGTCTTCTTCTCATTGTATATTTTGATCTTTTTTTTCACCAAAGTAAGATAACATAGTCTGACTCTTTTTGCGCTGCTTGCTCATGATCCTGGCTAACTACTTGAGTTTTTAAACTCTTTGTTAAGGTACGAATCTGCTTCCAATGTGGAGAATGTACTTTCCCAGGTTCAGGGGGTTTGTACAGCTGTTTTCAGAGATACTTGTAGGGACCTGTAAATTTTCAGTTCTTCCAAAGTGGTATGATAAGGGACGAGGTGTTTACTCCTTTCCTGGCCTGAGACTACAGGTACTCCTTTCTGTCCTGTAACTGTGAGGAGGGGTCCCTCTTCACAGCCACTACAAGCTCCACCAAGCCAGCACTCGTCCTCACCCCAGCACCGCCGCCCAGAACTGTGGTCCAGATCCAAACACGGGAAAAGCAAGAGATTCCTGCCTCAGCACTGGCAAAGAGATCCCTGCTATCCCTCTCTGATCAGCTACTGGATTCCCCCTCAGTCTGTGGGCCAGAAGCTCGGGAAGCAGCTACCGCCCCCCCCGGCCATGTTCTTGAGGAATGGAGCTGAGACCACGCCTTCCTTTCTCAGCACCAACAGAAACAGACTTTTCCCACTGACCTTCTAAGTTGTCTTGGCATTGGTGGATTGAGGAGTCTGGAAACCTCCACAGCTGCCCGAGATTCAGTCCTCTGAGGCCTGCTCCAGGTTTGCTGTGGCTTGTGTGCCCCTGCTGTGGCCTGCATGCCCAAGCTGCACTGCGCTCCCAGCCCTGCACGATACATCTTTCTGATCAATCATCCAAGTTGTCTTGGGCTGGAAATTTGTTTCACTCTGTCTTTTTGTGCGTTCTGCTGCTTCAGAATTTGTTTAGAGCCATTTTTATGAGTATTTGGAGGCGTTTGGAGGAGAGCTCAAGCAAGTCACTGCTTTCACTCTGCCACCTTGGCTCCGCCCCCATAACTCTTTATATTCTAGAAATCAACCAACAAGTCTTTATTGAGTGACTGCTATGTATTTAAGATTTTGATCAAAGTATTATAGAAAGATTAGTTTTATTAGGAGTATTCAGACTGGTTTACAGGAAGGAGAGCCCAAAATCAAAGAGGCAATAAATGAGGTGGAAGAGAATGAGGACTTTGACAAGTGTAGTTTCAGTGCAAATGGAGGGGAAGAGTCCCTGATACTCTGCCCCTCACAGTCCTGCACTAGGCATTAGTAATGCTACAATATCAATTTTCTTTTTTTCCCCTCTTTTTAAAAAATTTTTAATTAATTTATTTTGAATTATCAACAATCACTTCCATAAGCTTTTGAGTTTCAAATTTTTTCCCCCTCCCTCCCCATCACCCTCCCCAAAATGGCACATAATCTGATATAGGCTATACATATACATTCTTATTAAACATATTTTTACATTAGTGATGTTGTAGGTAAGAATGAGAACCAATAGGAGGAACCATCAGAAAGAAGAAGCAAAATACAACAGAAGAAAAAAAATACCAAATAGTATGCTTCAGTCTGCATTCAAACTCCATAATTCTTTATTCTTTGTGGATAGCATTTTCCATCATGAGGCCTTTGGAGATGTCTTAGATCCTTCCATATCAATTTTTTTAAAAGATTGCTTTCATGCTATTCCAATACTCAAAAGTTTTAATAGCTCTCAATTTTCTCTAAGACCCTCCCTAATCTGAATACAACCTACCGTATGATCTGCCGTTCCACTATTATTACCTGGATCTTACTCCCTGAACAAAAGCTCTGGATAGACAGTTATTCCTTTGGCAAGTCTCTTGTTAGAAAGTACATTTTGTTGTCATAAAATCAGGACTGTCCTAGGAAACCCATGATTTATTATTGAAAGTTACAAGTCAGCACAATACAGAGGAAAGAGTCAGATGACCCAGGCTCCCATCTCAACTCTTCCACTTACTAGCTATGTGACCAAGAGCAATTCTTTTAAACATTGACACTTGACAAATAGAGCTCTAACTTTGACAATTATAGCCCTAGATATTACAGTTTTGCTCCATTAGGGTCACTTGGTCAAAAAAATAGTCAACTAGCATTTATTAAGTGTCACATATAATGTGTCAGACAATGTGCTAGGAATACAAAGAAAGGCAAAAGACAGACACTACTCTCAAGGATCTCACAGTCTAATAAGGGAGACAACATGCAAATAGTGATGAGCAAACAAGATATGTGAGCAGTAAATTGGACATGATCTTAGAGAAAAGGCACTAAGATTAAAGAGGACCAGGAAAGTCTTCTTGTAGAAAGGTAAGACCTTAGCTGAGATTTGAAGGAAGCCAGGAAAGCTAAGAGGCAGAGATAAAGGAGGGAAGAAGAGATGGAGTGTTGTGCACTAGGAAGATGTCCTTCAAGCATGAGAGTCAGCCAAAGAAAATGGGAGTAGTCAGTAAATGGAGCATCATGTACAAGGAAGAGCAGGGATGCCAGGGAGGACCACAGAGTACATGGTGGATGCAATATATGAGAGGAAAAGAAAGGTAAGAAGAGGCCAGATTATGTAGTATTTAAGGGCATTAAAAGATAGATAGATAGATACACAGATAGATAGATACACATAAGTGTATGTATATATGCCTGTATTTGTGTATATATACATATATGTATATATGTGTATATATATGTATATGTATGTGCGCACTCACACACACATATATAGTTTCAGGAGCAATAGGGAAGCACTGGATTTGATTGAATGGGGGAGGGGAGGAGACAGAATATGACATTATCAGATTTGTGCTTTAGGCAAATCAACTTGACAGCTGAGTAGAGGATGGAGTGGAGTGAGGAGTGAGGCAGTGAGATGAGTAGGCACCTCAGGTTTTATCATGGGGACAGGACCAATTAATAACCCAGAAGTATCTGTTCCGTGATGGAAGGATATAATACTAACAAGAGTAAAGAGAGGAAGAAAGAAGTGATCAAAGGCAGCATGAGTCTTCAGAGTCCATAAGAAATAGGAACATTGCTTTGTGAACAGCTACCACATGGCACAGTGGACAGAGGGAAGGAATGGGAATAAGGATTTATATAGTGCTTACTACATAACATGTATGGTCAAGTGTTTTACAATATCTCATCTGATAATATGTTGGGCCTGGAGTCAGGCAGATCTGGGTTCAAATCTAGCTTCAAATATGTACTAACTGTGAGGCCCTAGGTAAGTCACTTCACCTCTCCCTGCCTCAGTTTCTTTAGGCTGAAGATGGGGATAATACTAGCACCTACCTTGTAGGGTTTGTAAGAATTAAATGAGATACCATTTGTAAAGAGCTTAGCACAATTCTTGTCACATAGTAGGTGCTTAATAAATGCTTGTTTCTTTCCCACCTTCTTAAACCTTGTAATGGAGAGACCATGTGATGAAGTAGAAAGAATAATGAATGTATGTTTAGGAGATGCAGGTTCAAACTATGTCTTCAATAGCTATGGAGCCATGTTTAACTCACTTATAGTTACTGAGCCTACTTTCCCTTCAGTAAAATGGAGGCAACATTTGTACTCTCAGTTCTCTTGGGTCAATATGACGAAGGCACCATATGAAGTTAAATTATTATTATAATTGTCCCAGCAAATGAAAACTCTCATATAAAGTAACAGTAAATATTATTAAAATAATGGAAACACTATCTGGTGAGTTTATTATGGGAGTGGGGGAGGAGGTTTCCAGGGCATTTTACCTTCTAGGAGTCCACTTAAAGTTCACAGCAGGGCACAACAATATACCCCAGAAATAATTTCTTTGTTGTCCAAAGTTCACTTTTCACATTCTGCAAGGCAGTATTAGCAGATGTATTGGGCTACACCCTGTAGGGGCTATATGTACACCAGGGAGTTCATGGGTTAGAGGAGACAGGATCATGATCTATTACTAGGTGTGTGATCGCACCCTTGTGTAACTACAGGCATCATTTTTTTTAAACCTCTGGGAAGTGTTGGGAGTAGCAGGAAAATAAATGGCATAATAGGGTATTGATAGTCATAGCTTGGTTCAAAAGAAACTTTCCACTAATCCTTTGTTTTTCCCCTGATTAGGTTGTTTATCCTTTGATCTTCAAGTTTAGCAAACACCTGAGCCTCTGAAAACATTCAGTCTCCTTTAGATGAATGGGAGGGGAAACCTCTATGTGTTTCTGTTTTTAATTGTTAATGCAGTGAAATAATCTTCAGGACTTTTTGTACTTTGGAAGATATCATTAACACTGTCTCCCTCTGCAGAAACGAATCATAAAACTTCACTGCTTTCATAGCCTGCACAAATCTGAACTCTAATGATTACAATATGAAATCTGAGGAGACCTGAAGTCTCAAATGAACATACTCCTAAGAACCCCACACTACTTATAGTAATGATTCTTCTCCTTGCATACTGCTGCTTCTTGCATAAAGGCATTTAATAAATGTTGACTGAATTTGAATTGGCCAAAAATAAAAGTGAGTCGCATTAGATCTGACTGTACTATGACAAACACAGAGTAGGCCTCCCTAATACATTAAACACAGCCAGGTCATGATAGATAGATAGATAGATAGATAGATAGATAGATAGATAGATAGATAGATAGATAGATAGACAGATAGATATGTATGCATATATAGAAATATATATCTATAACACAATATTTATATACACAGATCTATGTCTACATATACATGTTCATATAAATGTGTATCATATATAAATATTTCCATTTGTATGTTCATATATAGTATATCATAATATATTGCATATTCTGTAACATTTAGTATGTTATAATTTATATTATATAAGATAATATAATATGGTATAATAAGCTATAGTATGCTATATTATATTATATAATATAATTCACTCAAGGTATATTATATTATATGTAATATATTATAATAATATATAAGCATATATAAATAGAAACATATGATATCTGTTTATATGTGTACACATAAAATAATATATATTATATTTAATAATAGAATATAAGATAAAATATATCACAATAGACTGTGTATATTACATAATTAATTCAATGTATATTATATTATATACAAGTATATATGATTAAACAAAAATATATACGTAACTATATGTTTCTATACACAGATACACATATACACATAATAAGCTAATATATGATGTATCACATTGTCTTATGTAATATGACAATATCTAAAATTACATAATTTGTAACATTATTACATTTTCTATATTATATATAACTATTTTACACCAGGGAATATAGCCATTGTACCTCTTTAATCTTGGCATACTCCTTTGCATTGATTTTAAGAAGTTCACAATCCTCTTCCATGATAAGAGAGTACAAGTTTGAACCCAACTTAGGTTCAGGTAACTCTATTAGTGTACCAAAGCCATTCCAGGGACCAAGCTGCAAAGAAAACAAAAACAAATGTGATTTATCATAGCATTTAAAATGATAATAATGCATAGAAGCAGTAGTGGTGACACTGGAGAAGGGGGAGATCTGACAAAGTAACCTTCTGTGCCTGAACTTCAATGCTGCTACTGAAGGCTCAGACTCCACATTGTACCTGAATAGTCTACTTTACACTATTTCAATTCAATTCAATTTCTTAAACATATTAATCACAATAATGGTCAATCTATATTAGTCACTGAGGACACAAAGGTTAAAAATTACATAATCCATTCCCTCAATGAACTTACCATCTAAGAACAGAATGGATGGCTGGATAGATAGATAGATAGATAGATAGATAGATAGATAGATAGATAGATAGATAGATAGATAGATGATAGATAGATGGATAGATATACTCTGCTGTTAGAGAATATGAGGGTGTGTGCATACTTATGTATACACACACACACACACACACACACACACACACACAGACGAAGAGACAGAGATGGAGAGAGGTGGCACAGTGGATAGAGCACTGGTCCTGAAATGAGAAAGACCTGATTTCAAATCCAAATTCAAACATTTACTTTCTGTGTGATCCTGAGCAAGTTACTTAACCTTGGTTACCTTAATTTCTCCATCTATAAAATAAGCTGGAGAAGGAAATGGCAAATCACTCTAATATCTTTGCCAAGAAAACACCAAGTGGGGTCACAAAAAGCTGGGCATAAATGACTGAACAATAGCATACATGCATATATGTGCATTTATGTGTATACACACACACACATATATACAGAGAGAGATGTAGATATATATGTATATGTGTATATATGTCCATATACATATATGTATATATGTAGATGCGTGTGTATGTATATATACACACACGTACAAAATAAGCATCATATAAGGTAGAATGTGATGGTGTAAAGGGAAGATTGGAGCAACCAAAGAAAATTTGAAGAGAAAAAGATCTCTTCCACCTATTGGGAAATCAGGGAAAGCTGAAAGGAAGAGGTTAAAAATTTAAAAAAAAACTTGAAGAAGATTTCAAAAGACAGAAATCAACAGAGAGTGTATTTCAGGTATAGGTGGACAATTTATTTTAGGTGGGAAAATGCAGGATGAAATCAGGAGAAAATAAAAGTTAGGGATATAATTTATTTGGAACAAAACTTACATGAAGGGAAGAAACAAATAGCAGGAAACTTTAAATACAGTCAGAAGGGGGTTTTTTTGTTGTTCTTTTCCTTTTCTTTTGTTAATCTTTGAAGCAATAGTAAACCTTGAAGGTTGTTGTTGAACAAAAAGTGGCATGGTCAGACCAAGTGACCATGTGAGTGGGGAAAAAGAAATGGATATGTGAATATCATTAAGGTAGGACTTATTACACATTAAAATGATTCAGTGAGGAGGTGAGAGGACTTTAAAACGAATCTATGCACACTAATGCATTGTTGGTAGAGCTATAAATTACTAGAACCATTCTGAAAAGCAATATCAATTATGCAAATAAAGTGACTAAAATGTCCATAACCTTTCATCCAGACATTCTTCTATTAAGCATATACACCAAGGATGTCATTAATCAAAAAAAAAAAAAGGTTTCCAAATACATCTAAATATTTATAGCAGCACTTAGGTGCCAGCAGAGAAGTGAAAACAAAGTAGATGTGTACGATTACAGAAGAGACAAAGTGTGGTACATGAATATAATGGGATATAATGTGCTATAAAAGTTATAAATACGAAGACTACAGAGAATCTTCAAAAGATTTGCATGTACTAATGCAAAATAAAGTAAGCAAAGACAAGAAAATAACATACATGACTACAATGATCTAAATGAAAAGAAAAATGACAGAACAATAGAAAACGAATGTTCAAAAATTACAAAGAAAATGTATGAATCCAAAAAAGAAGACCTTTCACAATGCTTTCATAGAGTTGGGAGCCTATGTATGTGAACTATATCATATATTGCCATATTTTTTTTCTTATACTGATTTTTTACTTCCTTTTTTTCCCTTCTTTAAAAATATTTGTCAGTTATGATGGCTCTCTGGGAGAGAAGATATAGGAAGAAATTTAGTCAATGTGAAAAATAAGTAAATAAATACAAATAAAAATATGTTTAAAAAAACAAAATGATGATTATACGATTCAATTAGTCCAATGGAAATGTTGCAAACATAGGAAAATTAAGAAGAGGGATAGTTTTAGGGTGAAAATAACTGATCCAATTTTCCACCCTGTATCATAGATGGTAAGATTTAGGGCAAGCAATAATCTTGCATATCATCTAAGTCCAACTCTTTATTTTATAAATGAATGAACTGAGGTCCAAAGACATGTAATTATTTAATTTCATTCAGGTAGTGAGTAGCAGAGTTAGGAGATTTTCTGTGTTATTTAAGTGGAAAAGTGATGCAGCAAACAGAATGTTGGACCTGAAATCAAGATTACTTAAATTCTTTCCTCAGAGAATTACTGTTTGAGTGTACTTCAGATTTCATAACTTCAAAATGGGAATAATAATCACACCTTCCTCCCAGGGTTATGGTGGGGATCAAATTCGATGATATATACAGAGCTTTATAAAACCCTAAAGCTCTAATATAAATGCGTTTGTTATATTGTTATTACTAGTATTACCAATTATATATTGCTATATATTCGACCTAGTGGTGTAAGCTCCCTGCAGGCAGGAACTATTTTCATCTCTGTCTTTGTGTTCCTGGAGCCCACCTCTAAGCATCTATAATAAATAGTAAGTGCTTAATAAAAGTTTTTTGATTGATTGACTGAAGGTAAGATCATGGATGGACTTGGCAATCATTTCCATGAGGGGATAAAGAAGTCAGTGGAAAAATTTGCCAAAGAAGAAACTATAGAGGGAGAAAGAAGCAGGCTGAAGACAGAGTCTTAAGAGAGTTGGGAGGATGGTGATGAATCAGGAAGGACCAGTCAGTTAGGTAAGAAAAAAACCAACTAAAAGCAGAAACACAAAAGCCAAGGTGGGAAAACGTATCAAACTGGGGCTAGTCAATAGTGTCAGATAACACAGAAAGATAAGAGGAAGGATTCTTGGATTTTTTTAAAGTTCACTAGATTGAAAAAGCAGTCATGTGTGACGTTGGGGAATGTAGTGTCAATAGAGCATTAAGGATGGAATTCAAACTTCAGTAAGTGGAGGAAGCAAATACAGGCTTCTTTCTCGCAGTTTAACAGTGAAATGAAAGAATGACAGAGAAAAGACCTATGTCAGAGGAACGGAAATGTTAAAGCAAACTGTCATTGTTCTGCTTTTGTTGTTGTTGTTGGGTGGCTAGGAATTCCTGAGCATATTTGTAGCCAGAAGAGATTGGAAACAAGAGTTGGAAGAAAAGACCTACAAATTCCCTCCCATCCTTTTCTGGGCCTCGGTATCTTTAAAATGAGATTGAACTAGATGGCTTCTGCAATCCATTCTAGCTATAAGTCTATGATTCCTGATTTTATGCATTCCAATAACATTTGATATATCAGCTACTTTCTTAAATGAAAGTAGAATGATAAATTGACTCTTAAATATGTTATATTAATGTTAAAAAAACAGGTTCTTTACTCGTCAAATACAATCTTATTTGAACTTTTACATCATTCCTATGAAGTTTGTTTACTTTTCCTGGGTCATTTGAAATATCCTGTCAGTTATATGCTTTGAGAAGCACCTGAAAAGGAAGTAACAACCGTGAAAAGCAAGATGGGCTAATTTTTAAAAATACATGCCAGGGTAACTAACCTAATTTATTTTTTAATAGGGTTATTGCACTATTTAACAAAAGAATATTGTAAATGTAGCACATTTTGATTCATTAATACAATTTATCAAGTTTCTCATGATATTCTTATGGAGAAGATAGATAAAATTGAGATTTTATATATATATATATGTATAAATACATATCCATATTAACATACTAATAACAACATCATATTAATTACTAGCATTTATATAATGCTTTAATGTTGTAAAATGCTTTCACAAATATTACTATATGCTGTCCACACAACAACCCTGCGAGGTAGGTACTATTATTGTATCTATTTTAGAGATGAGGAAATTGTGGCTGATTGAGGTTGCCTACAGTTGTATAGCTAGAGAGTGTCTCTGGCAGGATTTGAACTCCAGGTCTTCCAGACTCTAGGTTTAGCACCCTGATAATACATTTTTGGTGTACCTGAAAATGTTTTAAAGAGCACACCCAAATTTCAGTGATCAATGAATGGACTCATGTTAACCTGAAAGGAGGTTCTTAATGAGTGTCCTGAGGCTCCCTTCTTGGCTCTGACTTTGAAAGTTTCATCGCTGATTTGGATGTCATTGAAACTATGTACCATATATTTAAATGATATTAAGCTCAACAAGATAGTTACAGAAGCTGGATAGTAAAACTGGCATTGAAAAAATTCTTATAAGTCTGGAGCAATGGATTAAATATAATAACGTGACATATACTTGGATTTACAAAAAACAACCATACAAGCACAAGATAGGGAAGCTATCAAACAATAAGAATTCATTAAATACCTACTATATTCAGGCATTGTGCTAATCATCAGAGATGCAAAAGACAAAAATAAAATAGTTCCTGCTCCCAAGGAACTTACATTCTATCAAGGTAGAAAATGTACATAAATACAAAATAAATAGATGTTAAATTGGGACAAATGAGTTAGAAGGTACCAGAAGGTGGGGGGGGGAGCATTGTTTTATAGTTTTTAGAAGGTAAAGATGAGGATGATTTCTATTCTGGGTATTTCAGACAACCAATTCCAAAGAATGTAGCTGGGAAATGGAATATTACATGTAAGACATGATGGAGTAAGATTTGCTACGTTAGATATAATATAGTGTTATGCCTAGACATTCCTTGTGTGAAAAAAGACCTACAGGTTTGTGTTGAGTTGCATCATCATCAGGATGACACAAAATATCATGTAAAACACAACAAAGC